ATCAGAAGATATGGTGAGCTCTGGTGGTCTGCAATCCCAGAGGTGAGCGGTTTGAACCCACCAGATGCTCTGCTGGCTAAGGAGGGACAATCTCCTCCTGTACCAGTCAGATCTGATTTGATGGTACACACACTAATAATAATAATAATAATAATAATAATAATAATAATAATAATAATAATAATAATAATAAAATTAAAAAAAGAAATCAGAAGATGTATTGTGTTGGGCAAGTCTGATGTCAGAGACATCACCAGTGTACTGAGGAGCAATGATGTCAGTTTGAAGACCAAGGTGCACCTGATTCAGGTAATGATCATTTCAATTACTTGTTGTGCATCTGAGAGCTAGACAATGAATAAGGATGACAGAATTATTGTCTTTGGGTTGTTGTGTTATAGAAGAGTACTGAATGGACTCCTCCAAAAAGCAGATGTCTTGGAGAGAGTGCAGCCAGAGTACTCCTTTGGAGGCAAAAATGGTAAAGGTTCATCTCATATTCTGCAGGCATGCTGTTATTATATGCCATAAAGTAGGAACTAACCCAGAGATGACTCTCCAGAAGGTCGTCAGGGTCAGTAAATCACACAGGAGGAGACTAACCCATCTCCTGTGGAGCAAATGGCAGATCTGAATCACTTACCTTATGAGCTGGAAGCATGGCTCTTTACTAAATGTTGTTAGGAGCTTTTCCTTTGGAAAAAATATCATGCTTCGAAAGGTGGATGGTCAAGAAAAGAGAAGAAGACCCTCAAAGAGACAGACTGATACAGTGACTGCAATAATGGGCTCACTTGTATCAGATGATGAGGATGGTACAGGTAGGTAGGTCAGGGTTCAGATATTTTATTGCTAGGTCTCTGAGCTTTAAAATGATAGCACATAGCGGGCTCTGGTGGCCTAGGGGCAAGAAGCTGCACTGCAATCCCAGAGATGCACAGTTCTAATCCACCAGATGCTCTGCTGGAGAAGGAGGGACAATCTCCTTCTGTACCTGTCAGATCCGATTTGACAGCACACACACACACACACACACACACAATAATAAAATAAAATGTAAAATTGTTTAAAAAAATGATAGCACATAACATTACCTCACTGGGCCCTCAAAAGCCCTTTGGGAGTAAGTCAGGAAAATGTTACATTACCCAACTCTTACAGAGAGAGTCAATGTCACATAGCCTTGTGTGTAAGTGGTTGGTCTTAACCAGCTGATTGTAGACAATATTATCTTTACTTTGCCTTTTGGATAACAGGTCTGTGAGAACTCTTCTATATAGTCTTAGAAATGGTTTCTAAAATAAGTAGAAATTGACTACCAGGGAATTGTGTGCTTAATGGAATCTATGAGGCCCTACCTCACATGAGATGTTGATGTAATTTTATTTTTCTTAAGTCACAGAGAAACACACCAGATTCTCCAAATTAAAGGATACCATCTCGGTTTCAAATCCCAGATCTATCAGAAATAAGTAATTTTATCTTTCTGCATTTTGGAGGATTATGGAGGAAGGATAAGTCAGATACTGCCAATACTAAGAACAGTGTCAGTACCTGATAGAACAAGGAACATTTATTGCAGAGAACAGAAAGTGAAATACACTTATATCTGTCCAAAGAAGTACTGTTGGGAAAATTAGTTCTAAGTTAAAGAGCCTTTAATAGTTGGCCTTAACCATATGTATGGTGTGTAATATATCAAGCTGCTGAAAGGAAAAATGAGCAAACTTCTCCCTTTAAGATTTGGAAAACTGATGTAGGATTGAACTGTGCCAGAATCAACATGATGTGGGCTTTAGCATCCAATAATTTATAATCATAGTTTTGTAGACTTTCATTTAAAAAACCCTACAAACCAAAATGAAAACCATTTTTTATTTGTTTTTAAAAGACTAAGTGTTGCTTTTATTCAAAAGAAAAACACAAAGGGAGTGGGGGAAGTATCTGTGATTAAAAACGACTTGCAGCTGCAGTGAAAAAAATTACTTTCAGTCCTTTCTAGTCTCTCACCACTTGTCCTCACACTGGGCGCGTACATGTTTACACACATGCACACACACTTGGACACGCCCACACAGAGAGCAGGCATCTGAGTATAGCTTTTCTTTATGTGTCTGTTAGTTACAACGTTATCTTTCAGACTATTATTTCAGCCTGACTCATCCCTAGCGTTTCCCTCCACCTTCTGAAAGGGCAAAGGAACGGCAGTGTCCTACATCCTGCAAATAACAACACTAATTTTTAGGGGTATGAGGGAAGGGCAAGTGAACCAGTAGTTAATTCCTTCCACAAATACTTAAGTATTTCGGGTACACTACAGGCACTGAGATTAGGGTCAATTAAGAGACATCCTTTCATTTTTCTGCCAGCCAGGGTAGTTTTTGACATGATGTTAACTTATAAAAAGTTGTCAAATTTCTCATTAAGGTAAGGGCATCTGTTTTTCAGGATGGCACAGGTTTGTATCTGGAGATTTTAATCAAGAAATGATATACTTTTTCATTTCTTGAGAGCTGGAAGTTTTAGAAAGGTTTCTTTGCAATGATTCGGTGTTACTTTTCCCTTTAGGACAGTAGTAGGTAACTGGGTCTGACCCGCGGAGCAAGTGTGGAGGCTACAGTCTGTGGCCTGGTGTCTATTGTGGGGATTGGAATGAAGCTGGCCACCTCACCACCGAGGTTGAGACCTGACATATACACAGGTACAGCGGGAAGAGAGGGATTTAAACGGAACTGGTTTTTAGCAAGACGGGGTAGGATCCAACCTGGAATCTCCGCCCCTTCGGTCTGTACTTCGAAAACGGTGATCCTGAGTCACAAAGGCGTTGCTAGGTTGCCAGGTGGACAAAATACAGCTGGCAACAGCTGCGGCCATTCTGGAGCATGCGGACCACGGACTGATCAGGTGAGCCAGCTGTGGGATGAGAGCCTGGAGGGTGTGTGGTAAGCGTGTGAACCCGTGGGGGTAAGGCGGCTTGTGGTGTACAGAAGGGGGTGGGCTTCACGACCTGGCTGGGTGTTGGGTGCAAGAATGGGAGTTGGACATGGGGGATGGGCCTGGTGTAGGGTGATAGGAGTAGGGGGTGTGGCAGACCTGAACTTGCAGGGAAATGAGGGGGTGGACGGGATTGGGGGACCCACAGAGGAGGAGGGTGGACCCAGGAGGGGAGTAGAGGGTGGGCGGGGGTTTGTGGGGTGGACCTGGGGGTGACCCAAAGTAGTGATGTGGGAGGGTGGGCCAAGTGCTTAGGTCTCTACCCTTTACCCATTCCCTGTGGGGGCTCTGGCCAGGAAGTAGGAGGGAGAGAAAGACCACCTCCAACCGTTCAGGAGGACCTCAGCTACACCTTAGTGCTGCTTTACCCATTTCCAGCTGGGGAAATCATGGGGTTCTTGGAACTAGAGGGCATGAAGGATAAGCCCATTTCTCTTGGACAATCAGGCGTGCTATCCAGAGCTACTAGTGCAGCTGCAACAAACTTCTGAGGTTCAACTCCCTATGGAGATAGTGACTTCTAGGAGGTGGGAGAGTGAACACCTTTATAAACCTGTGTAAAATAGTGGAAAGGCCTGGACTCTAAAGTCTCTCATCCCATCCTGGCTCTGCTAAACCTTGAAGATTTGACTATGGTCAAAACTTTTCATCTCCAGTTCTTATCAAAAGAAATAAGGCCAACCCTGAGATGAGCTTATTTTAGGATTAGCAGTATTGCCCAAAGGGGTTGACATACTACAGGAGGGTACCACTTAGCTCTGGGGTCCCTGTGTGTGTTTCTCTTCCCAAGGCAGCCCAGATATTTGAACATGTAGGCTTAAAAAGGGCCTGAACAGAGCCTGAGACGAGTGTTAGGTGCTGGCTAGGTTTTCTGATTTGAACTGTCATCAAGTTCCTCAAATCATAAAAAAATAGTCTGTGTTATCAACTATGGTGGAGGTGTCACCTTTTCACAGTACTTCCAGGGCAATTCCTAGCTAGGATGGGTAGGTCTAGCACTGGTACCTTCTGTGGGAGAGAAGAAGGGGAAGAGTCCACCTGCCTGCCTCTTAACAGAAGTAGGTGCTCAAAATGTTTGCCTTTTCTGGATTCAGAAAATCTTTTCTATATTGGAAATTTAGAAGTCTAATGAAAGGAAATTAGAATTCTACTTCCAAAATATTAAGTTAGCAGTATCCTTGCAACTTTTCAAAGTTTATCTGCAAAGAAAAAAAATATCTTTATCACACAGTTGCGGTTCCTGCTGTTGAGTACAGGACCACATCGTAAATGTCCACAAAATGGAAAAAGACTATAAAAATTGGGAAAATAATTATAGATTGGCCTTTGGAAACTCCTCCTCCCCGCCCAGCCTCATTTGATTTCTCTGAGGCTGAATGTACCCAGGCAGGGTTCTGAGAGACACAAGAGATTTTTATAGCAGAGGGCCTAAAATAACTAGGATAATCCACTTCAGATAAATCTACTTCCTACTCTAGAAAAACAGGTTAAACCTAGTCCAGAGGCTTATGATAAAGGTTTTAAAAAGTTTACCACATGTAACAGGAGATTTACCCCTCAACTCACACTCATTGCTGTTGGAAAACTCATGGCAGACCCTTCAGCAGGTTCTGTGAGGCTGTAAATACCATGGGAAGAATTACCCATCTTTCTCCCTTAGAGCTGCAAGTACATATGAACTGTCAGAGGCATGGCCTTTGGGTTAGCAGTACAACTCCCTAGAAACTTGGCCACCAGAGCTCCCCTGCTCCCCTCCTACTGCTCTCGACAGAATTACTAATGCTCCAGCACTTAATAGGATCTGTTCATGATTCCCCATCTTTCTCCCTTAGAGCAGTTGGTGGATTAGAATTGCCAGTGAAGTGTGGCCTTTGTGTTAGCAGTGCAACTCCCTGCGGACTATGCCACCAGAGTTCCCTATTTATGAGGGAGATGGGAATTTGACCAGCCATTCCTTACCAAAAGCATGCCAGGGAAAGTCCATGTTCTGATTCCTCTCCTTTAGGACTGTCAATGGCAGGATATCAGCTCTGGTCTCCATGGACCCCACTGGACGAGAGCTTCCAATGGCTGCGACATACAACACCGACACCTTCTTCCAAACACCCTTTCAGAATTTCCCCCTGCTTCCCACACACTCCTTCTGACCTGGAAGTCCAGTTGTGCTTTCAAGAGGTCACTCTGCTCCTAGACAGCCCATTTCTGGGTACTGGAGCGAATCCAAAGTTACCCTGCCACACATCAGAGCTCCGAACCATGAACAGTAAGAAAGGGCAGGTCAGAAAGCCCCAGCCTGTCCGCCTCAGTGGTGTAGACTCCGTCTTTGGCAGGGTCATCACAGCTCAGCCGCCAAAGTGGACTGGGACCTTCAGAGTTTCAGACAAGTCAGCCTTTTGCAAAATCATCAGTCGGGAGCACCAATGGCCCACTGGTCTTAAGGAGCCTCAGATTCAGATGACCGTGGCTATGTGCAAACAGATGCTACGCTCTATTCTCTTATTGTATGCAGCATACAAGAAGTGCACTTTCGCCTTGCAACATTCCAAGTAACGAGTCTCTTGATTTCCAGTTCTCACACACATGGCCTTTGGTATGTGCCTGAAGCTTAAAGAACGTAGAAACAAATCCTGTGACTCCAGCCGCTCTAGTGCTGACAATTCAGAAGGCCCTTTCCTGACTTCCCTCCGTAAAAGGGCCGGTGACACAGAGCAAGGGAGAGCATTTCCCCTGTAATGTTGAACATCATGTAAGAGAGGCAAACTATCACTGACATGCACATGTGACAAAAAACCATTAAACCACATAAAGCCATGTGTCTTAAATGTGACTTCAGTTATCTCAGACCACAATCAGCTGGGGAAAGAAAGGGTCACCAGGGAAGAGGATTTGTGGGATTTCTATGTACCAGAGGATGAAGGGGTCAAAATCTAAAGAGAGCCTTGGGCTCATTTGTCAATTTTTATTTTAAAAAATGAAAATCAAACATCTCTTCCCACCAGAAAAAGGAAATGTCTAACAAATCATTCCCTAATGATACCAGATAAGACAAATTGAGGTAGGTACACTAAAAAATATTTAATAATTATAGCTTCCTAAGAAAGAAATGGGTAGCAATATTGTAACTGGATTTTGTACCAGAAGTCAGAGTTCCCTCCCCATTGAGGCCAAAGTATATTCCTAATATTCTATTTCTAATAAACTATGTGTAACTCTGTAACATGACTACAGATACAGGTATAGCTCAAAATAATGTGGAATAAAAGAAACCTTATACATATCCAAAGTCAACATGAATTTAATGTTGCTTTCCACGCTCTCAACACTGCCCCTTTATAGTAACACAAAGGCAAAAACAAAAATCAAAATATTTCTTCTTGACATTCTCTGGGTATTGATAAGAAATTAAATCAGAACAGTCACAAAAATCTTCTCACCTCAAAGATGGTCTTTATAACAGGAAACAAATGATTTTAATATGTAGAAATGATGTGTAGTTTTCATTGTTTATATAACAAAGTATAATTCATCTCAATCTTGAACAAGTGAAGTCCAGAAGGAAACAGCTGAGGCAGCACTTAACAAGGAATTTATTTGCAAAACTGCTACAAGCTTAAGTTCTAGAATAAATCACAGAGTGTGGAAACTAGCTAACAAACTTAAACTTATCTGACTCTGAATTAGCTAAGCAGAGTTTCTATTCTGTAATCCAACACTGCCACCGTCAGTCAGATGAGGAAGTAATGCTACACTGGGATTCTGAGCCAGTCATTGGTGGTGGCAGATAATCTATGATGTCTACAATCATGTTTATTCAATAAACTTCTCTCTTGAAGGATAAAATAGGATGATCCTAATTAGGAAAGCAGGCAGAAGATTTCTCACCCAGAGCACAAAATGTTCTGAAGGTGGGAGGAGATGGAAAGTCTCTCTGGGTCTAATCAGAATCACCATCACTTTCCTCACTATCTTGCTCTTTTCCTTCATCATTTGCTTCATCATCTTCATCCTAAAGGGCAGAGGATAATTAAGTGAACATACAGATTCTGGTTGATAGGTTCCACAGGGCATGCCAAGTAATGCAAAGTGGTACTAATTACTACTAACAAGTTTTCAACAACTTATAAAATCAAGCAAAGGCTCCCCCATACTTCTTCCCCCCCCCAATACTTCTTGACATCATCTTGACTTCTAAAACCATGGAGGGAGACTATTTTGATACTGGTTTATGACACCATCTCATTTTTCATTGATTTATTTGTTCTTAGGACTTTTAAATAAGCCATGGTCTTCCAGCTCAATTTCATGTATCTGACACAGTAACAAAGCAAGCATTCAGCATAGAAAGAAATGTCTTAATAAATTTTGTTTGGTTTTATGTTTCAAATAAATGTTTCTTAAATTAAACTGGATCCTCAATAAGAATCCAGCAGAAAATTCTGTATGATCTGTGATTCTAGTCGGGGAGGTCTGCCAGATGTAAAAAGTACCAAACATTAATACGTTGCCCCACACGACCATGCTTAGAAACACATTTGCCGTCATTTGCTGCAACGTGTTAAAATAGGCTATTGTCTGCCTTAAATTCTTTAAGAAAAAAAAGTAGGGGGTAATGCTAAACAAGTAAGACAGGGAAGACAATGTCTTAAAAACATTTCTTCTTATGATCTGATCTTTCTGCATCAACCTTAAGTTATACATAAAGGCTCCAGGGGAGGGGTTCTTAAATCTGGACTTCTCAGTTTCAAAAGTCCCCATCAGCAAATTTACAAATGCACATTTCCTTAGTTCTTTTTTAAAAATTTTTTGTTTTAATTGTGATTTTAATGGGAGTTTACAGAAAAGTTAATTTTCATTCATTTACTGTTGCACATGTTCCTCCCTCCCTCCCTCCCCCAATTTCACGTAAAAAAAAATTCATTAATTGTTGTACAATTTCCTCCCTTTTCCCCTCCACCGCTTCAGTACCTCTTATTCTGAACAACTGACTGACTTACCTATAATGCCTACTCATATATTCCTCTTAAACAAGTCTCTCCCTCATCTGTTCCAGTACAGTGTTCGGTATCTATCCACTCTTTCTATTCTCTTCCCAGCCCCTCATGTCAGTTCTGCTTCCACGCAGTGTTGTTATACAGTATTTGTCTTTGTGAGACTGAGAAATACCACTAAGCATAATGTCCTCTAGGGTCACCCATGCTGTGTAATGTTTTACGAGTTCCTTGTTTTTCAGTGCTGCACAATACTCCATTGTGTAAATGTACCAGTTTTTCTATCCATTCATTTGATGGGCACTTGGGTTGTTTCCATCTCTTTGCTACTGTGTATAATGCAGCAATAAACATGGGTGTGTGTACATCTGTTTGGATGGCAGTTCTGGTTTCTTTAAGATACATGCCCAGCAGTTCAACTGCTGGGTCAAATGGCATTTCTATTTCCAACTTTTAGGAAAAAATGCCAAGTCACTTTTCATGGTAGTTGAACTATTTTATACTACCACCAGCAGTGAATAAGGGTTCCAATCTCTCCACAGCCTTGCCAGCATTTATTGTTTGCTGCTCTGTTGAACTATGCTGTTATTGCTGGGTTCATTATTCATCAATGGTGGCAGTGGCTTCTGACGCTTATGCTTTAGTTGTTGTAATGTGCCACTGTGTTGAGTATGACTCATAGCAAACCTATAAAAATGGGTCTGATCCCTGTCTTATCTTGTGCTATCATCAACCTTGACACACCTGTGCTGACTGTTGCAGTCACTGTGTGAATCCATCTTGTTGAGTCTTCCTGTCTTTCAGTGACCTTCCACCTTTCTAAGCATGATGTCTAGTATGCCCTTCCAAAGAACAGCCTCTCCTAGCAACATGTCCAAAGTATGTGAGATTAAATTTCACCATCTTCGCCTCTAAGAAGCACTCTGCCTGCACCTTCTCTAAGACATATCTATTTGGTTTTTTTTGGCAGACCATGGGATATTCAGTACTCATCCAATACCACATTGATTCTGCTGTTACCCTTATTCACTGTCCAGCTCTCAGACACAGAGCAAATGACTGAAAAGACCATGGCCTGAATTAGGTACACTTTAGTCTGTCAACTGATATCACTGCCCTTCAGGACTATGGGTAGGTCCTTGACAGAAGGATTTCCCAACACAATACATTTTCTGATTACTGCTGGTGCCAAGAATGTTGACTGTAGATCCAAGTAAGATGAAGTTGTTGACAATGTCAATCTTTTCTCCATCTATTGTGATGTTCCTTTTGGCCCAGTGTTAAGGATTTCTGTCTACTTGAGGTTGAGATGTAATTAATGTTAAAGGCTGTGGCCTTTGAACTTCTGCAGCAAACATTTTAAATTCTCTGCACTTTCAGAAAGCCAGGTGTTATCTGCATAATGCAGGTTTGTTGAGTCTGTCTCCTACCCTGATGCTACGTTTTTTTCCTCATAGAGTCCAACATCATGAATTATTTGTTCAACATACAGACTGAATAAGTATAGAGAAAGGATACAGTACTGATGCATACCTTTCTTGATTTTTAAACCATGCAGTGTTCTCTTGCTCTGCTCAGACAATAGCCTCTTGGTTTAGGTTGTGTATAAGCACAAGTAAATGTTTTGGATTCCCATTCTTCTCAGTGTTAGCTACAGTTTGTTATGATGCACACAGTCAAATGCCTTTGCAGAATCAATAAAGTAGACATTCTTTTGGGATTCTGTGCTTTCTGCCAAGATCCACTTGACCATCAGCAGTGATATCTCTGGTACCATGGCCTCTTCTAACCCCATCTTGAACTACTGGTAGTCTGGCTGGTTTGGGCTAATGTTCAGCAATATTTTGCTTGCATCTGATTTTAATGGTATTGTCTGATAATTTCCACATGATGTTGGATGTGTTTAAATGGTTTAACTCATTTTCAACATTCAGAATATTTGGACCCCTTTCTATTCTATGGTTTCAGATCAGATTTAAGTGAAAGAGAATATACAATGGAAAGGAATTTCCAAATCTGTAAGATATGGTACAACTTGAAATACTCAATAATTTTATTATATGATTTTATGGTAACTTTTTCTGGGCTTCAAAACATTTATATAAGAACATAAGCTTTTTTTGGGGGGGAAGGGAATGAAAATGGCAAGGAAGTGTTTGAGTAAAAGCAAGAAAATATAATTATTAGGGTAAGCAGGAAGAGTTCTCTACTCTTCCCCCAACTCAACATAAGTAACCATTAAGGCACACACTGCTGCCTTTGGCAGATACCTCCTGTGCTTCGCCCTTGGAAACCTGGGATGATACATCATCTTCACTCTCATCTGCCGTACTCTCCTGGGAATTCTGGGACACAATTTCTTCACCCTAAATATGAACCAAGACAAACGGTCGGTTATAATTATCTTATTTTGGGCCTCAAAGGTTTGTTACTTTCCATAGTAATAGAAGAGGTAAACTGGTGGAAAAGAGTTTAACTTATAGGAAGCTCAAAGGGAGACAGTCTAGCCGCTCAAATAGTTAGACATGCTGACATAGTCAGAAATGTGCTAAGTATCTACAATATGTAGTATCTGAAATACATAGACTGCCTTTGTAGTCTGTTGTCATATTGGACTTCATAAGGCCAGACTGGATTAGTACATCTTTTAGTCAACACTGGTTAAGGTTCTAAAATTTCTCAAATGCCTTTCAATATAGGAGAAACAATAGATCAATCACAAAGGGCCATTCAAAGGCCAAAAGAGGATATTAAAAAAAGGTTTTAAAAAGCTTGGAGCAGGATTTCTTGAGTTGAAAAAATGGCTCTACTCACTTCTTTGCTAAATAACCTTAAGTAAGTTATTTAACCTGTCTGAGCTTCAGTCTTCTCACAGATATGACGGTATCCACCTCATGAGGTTATTACGATGGATGGAAGGGAAGTCTCTGTGTTACTTTAACACTCAGATAGCCTTAGCATGAGCAAGAAAGGTTTAAATCCCCTTGGGAAAATGCTATGTGTCTCCAAAGTACTACCAGAAGCAACAGAAACATTTTAGACCCAATCAGCCCATGAAAAGACCTTTGAAATGCACATGTGTTGAAGTTATCTAGTAGTTTAGGAAGGGAAAAAGAAAAAAAAAAATTGTCTATGTTAAGAAATGCTACTATACTTTCAGCTGGGCATAAAGGCACTAACCATCCTGGGTATGGAGAGGTTTATACTGCCTTGGTGGTTCTTAATTTGAGAAATAATATTTAACCCTCTAGCAAGTTCTAAAGTCTCTGCTGCCTTGGACAAGCGGTACATCTTGTGCTCTGCGACCAGCATCTCTGTCTAAAGACCAGAAAACAGGACATTGGGGCACATCACCATAAAATCTCTCTGAAGTGGCCAGAAGGAGTAAAAATAGCATAGCCCCTCCCTGACCCAGAGTACAGAGCAGATAAAGACCTTGTAGCCCAGCCCTCTGGATTCTCTAGAGTCACATCAACAGCAGGAGGTTCTTTTATTTGTTGCTGACTCAAAGACTCACAATTACAGTACAAACATTGTGGTTTTTTAGAGAAGGAAGCTGGAGAGTGGGGGAGGCAAAGACTATTAATATAAACCCAAGTTTTAGCCCAACAATCCCAAGGCACAATTCCTCAATTAGTCCAGGCTCTGGTTTCAGTTCAGCAGTCAAATCCAAATCATTCAGCATGGTTTGTCTCATTACAATTACAAGTCAGCTTCTCCTTCAAACATTTGGCAAGAACAGCCAAACCTTTACTAGTGGCCAACAGGAAGGCAAGAAGCCTCAGGTAACATCCTGCCACTGTTTGTCCAGAGCAATGCTATAGTCTCTCCTTCACCAGAGTCTTGCCGCCACAAGCCTTGCTTGCCTCAAGTCTTTCTGCCCAGTGTGGGAAGCACTTTCCCCCCCTTTTCCTAGTCCAACACCTGATGCGCATTTGCAAGACCATGTGTCTGCAGTTAAGGTAGCTGGAGACCAGAAGGAGCTAACAAACGGCTACACCAAAGCCAACTTTTAGTCTTCACCACACACTCTAAACAATGTACGCTAACTCTAAAAGTTAAACATCCCTAAAGAAAACATGAGGGGCTGAGCTGAGGCAACACCCTGAAAAACTGAAGATGGACGTGGGGCACTAGGACTGGCTGAGCCAAAGCTTACCTGCAAGTCCCTGTTTTTGAGATTGCCCAGCCAGAAAGCCTCTTGGCAATTGTTGAGGATGAGCATGGCTTCCACTCGGTAAACCAACAGCTCCAGGGTCTTTTTGAGCAAAGGCACATGTTTGGTGAGGCCCATGTCCTGGTGAATCTAAGTGAGAACAAAGATATACACCTGGGTTTATTATCATGCTTTCACATTTTCTATATAAAAACTTTTGAATTTATGATACTCTGAACATTCATAAGCACTTAAGTCCTGCCAGAGTACCCTGAAGGGCATCCATCCTTCAAGGCCCAACTGTAAAAGCCTCAAGCCATACATACGACTAACATCTCTAACTTCTTCATAACCAATCTCTGAATTTACCAAGAAAAAACTTAAATATATTTATGTTGCTATTAAGCAAAAGAACTGCCCTAGTGAGCTAAGAAGAACCCTTAAAGTTCCACGTTGCAATACCTCTTAGCTCAGAATGAGGGGAGAAGTAACTGGGATGTCACAGAATCATTTTGTTTGCCAGTAACTGCAGAACTCTGGCTTTTGTCAGAAAACTGTGTCTGGTTCATCAGCTGCAAGGCAATCTCAAAGGGATAAGCCCTTAATAATAAAATGTTCCAACAAGAAACATGTCAAGCCAATTTGAATGCTTGTCTTTGGGTCCAAACTGGTTCATGGCTGACCTTCCACTGGGTTTCCAAGGTTGTAAACTGTACAAGAGAAGAGTGTCCATCTTTTTCCCAAATAAGTGCTGGTAGGTTCAAACCACTGGAGATGCAGAGCTCTTAAGAGATCAGCCCAATTTCCTACAGACTACCCTAACAGAAGTCTCCGACAAGTAAGCTGTTGTACAGTCCAGTCAAGGACAATTCATAGCAATCTATGAACAACAGATCTGAACCCTGTCCTCTTCTGTACCATCCTCATCATCTCTGACACATTCATGCCCATTACTTCAGTCATTTTGTCAATCCATTTTGTTACGCATCTTTCTATCTTTTGCTGACCATCCACCTTTCCCAGCATGATGTCCCTTTCCAAAGATTGGTTCTTCCTAACGACATGCCCAAAGTATGAGACAAAGCTTTGCCATCTTCATCTCTAAGGAGCACTCTGGTTGCTCCTTCTCCACATAACAAAGAGGAGAACTAAATAAATATGGTGACTTTATAACCACCTCTTATCTCTACTGGGGAGGCTTTATTTACATAATAGTCCTCCCACACAGAGGACTCTAGTAGTAATACAACTACCAGCATTTGCTAGCTCTCACCAAGGAAGAGCTTTTAGGGGAAATAAGGCTATGGAGATTATCTAAAACTTTAGATTCAGAAATTCTCTTCTAAAGGATTTCCAAACTTAAGGAGAAACTGATTTGACCATTTTCAAGAAATCTGACCTTAAGAAAGGCACAGCCCCAGATAAAAAGGTTTGTTGTTGTTATGTGCCATCGAGTCATTTGCAACTCATAGCGACCCTATGTACAAGAGCCCTAAACGCCGTTGTATCCT